TTATTATTAAAAAAATCAAAAAATTAAAAATTAGTAGGATGTAGATTTGAAAATTTTTATTTTTCAACACATTAACTATTTAAAAAGACAAATGCTTTTAAGATTTCATATTTTTTAAAAAGTGAAAAAAATATGAGAAAAAAATTTAATTTTTAATCTAAAATTGAGAACAAAAAAGAAAAATAGAATTAAGAAAACAGAAGATAACGATTGACATTGCATTTAAAATTTTTGAAGATCAATCGGAAAATTAAAAGCAAAAATTTGGAAGAGTTTTCAAAATCAATCATATATTATATATATTCATTATTATCCCATTGATAAAGATTAAAGAAGATATTTTTTTGAAATTTAAAAAAAACAAAATGTTTTCTGTATATTTATATATAATAAAAAGTAAATCAATAAAAAATTTAAATTGAAATACCTGATTGACTTTTGATGGAGTTTTTTAAAATTGTACATTTAAAAATCAGAACCAGATAAATCACACATAGATATATGAAACATTTATTTTGAATTATTTGAAAACAAAAAAACTTGAGTTGGTCAGATTGGGTAGAAAATTGAATGTTTTAACCGATATTTTTTTTTTTTTTTTTTTTTTTTTCTTTTTTTTTGATTTTAAACATCAATAAAAAACCATCCAACAAAAAAAAATCTGTTTAAAAAAAAAAAAATTATTTTTTGAACAAAAAATAGAAATTTTTAAACATCATCTTAATCATCAAAATTTTTAAAATAACAAATATTAAAAATTTGTTTAAATTTTTTTAATTTTTTTATTGAATTTGCATGTAAATTAATGAATAAAAAATATATTTGAATTGTTAAATTGAAATGATATTCCATTTCCAATTATGAAATTATATTATTTATAATTTTTTATTTTAAATAAAAAGGCACATTGAAAAAAATAATTTTCATATGGGTTAATTGAAAACCATTAAACTATTTTTATCTTCAAAAAATAAAAAATTAAAATTTGCTTAATAAATGCTTAGATTTCAGCATTAAACAAAGAGAATTGACCGACAATAAAAGAACAGAATTTAAGAGAACAAAAGATAACAATTGACATTGCATTTAAGTTTTTGAAGATCAAACTTGACTGAAATGCAAGAAGCCCAAAGAGATTTCCACAACTGAGAAGTGCAAGAGAAAAAACTGTTAGCATAGAACTTACGGTTACAGTCAGCCATTTCAACTGTAAAATGATGACTTTGCCACCAATCTAGTATTGCACTAAAATTCATAAAGTTTGGTATTGTAGAGGAAAGTAATATTTATTTGAATAATAAAAATATGAAAATTTTCAACAGAAAAAAAAGGTGGAAAATGGGTGAATTTTTTTTTTATATCTTAGCTATCCATCTTACAGATTTAAAACATACCATAAAATCCCTTTTGAATAAATTTTCTCATGGGGTCCATGTAATATTTCTGATTTTCCAGGCATAAATAAACAAATTGGGGGTTCATGAAATAAATATTTTGGCAGTCCATGAATTTTTTTATAAAATGTTCAGAATGGTTTTTTTATTAAAAATTAAATTTCTACTGTAATTTAAAAACTATATATAATTCTTATATATATTATATATATATATATATATATATATATATATATATATATATATATGAATGATTATTTTTTATTAGTTTTTATATAAGGTAAATCCACTGAATTTTCAATATATAAAAAAATTAATGTTTAAAAATAAAAAAATCATTCTTTTAGATTTACTTTTAGCTTTAATTGAAAGCTAAATGATTAAATTTATTATTTCCAATGTTTATTAGTGAAAAATAGAATATTGTTGTCTTAGGTCAAATAGCTATTAAGGGGTCAACCAAAAAAGAAAGGAAAAAGGATCCATGGGTAAAAAAAGAAAGGAAAAGGGGTTCATGGTTAAAAAAAAAAAAAAGTTTGAGAACCACTGCTTTACACCAAAACAACACATTCTTATTTACCATTTTCACAATAGTCACCATAATACCTCAATGTCTCTATGAAGTCCTGACTAGTTCCTACATGTACAATTTGTCTGTGGAGGGTGGGAATTAAAATAACAACATTAAAGAAAGTTCATCTGAACAATTACCATGAAAGTATTTATAGAAAATGTATAGAGAAGCTACACTAAGGTGATCAGAAAGTGACTGAAGTCAAGATGCCAGGTCAAGACCACTAACATTGCAGATTCTTTAGATTTTATCAAGATTTGTTGAATATCATAAATGTACTTATCTATTGAGCGCTTTTTGGCAGAAGTTCTGCTCATATGAAAAATGTTAAATTCTTGTAATTTTCACACATTTTTAGTTGTATTATTATCAATTCTTCTATATAATATAAAGATTTTGCAAGTATATGAATGTAGTGACTGTTAGAAGCATAGAAGGACTGAACAGTGTTGATAATTGTAGTATCTACGAAATGCAAACTTGTGCCAGAGATATGGTGCCTTAAAACATTTTAGGACCTTCGAATTTGCTTCTTGTTTTAATGGTATCGTTTCTCTTGTGTATGGTCAAAAGTTGTTCTTTTTTTTTGTCATTCTGTGAAAATGCAAATTCTGTGAACTTTAAAAACTTTTACATTCCTGTCTTGTCAAAACGAATTTACCATTTTGCTACGTTTTTTTTTTTTAGCTTGAAATAATCAGCAGTGAATTTAAGTGTAAAGCCTGAAATTTTATTTAAATTGGAGTTTTGTATTGTTATATCGTCTGTCTGTTTGTTTCTGAAATTACTGCTGAACTTGTTCTTGATGAGCATTTTTTTAATACAAGACTTGTTCTCATATTCTGTATTTTTAAAAAAAAATTATTTTTAATTATTTTTTCATTCCAACTTCATCATTTTTCCATTTTGATGCAAAATTACTATTATTCCATGTACCATTGGCAAACAGGCTGCTGCTTCTTTTAAACTCCTGACACCATTTATTATTCTGACAACATTTCTATAATACAGCCGCTCCTCACTTAACAACTTACTTCTTTAACAACCCTCCCTTCAGACTTACAACCACCTATAATTTAAAAAAAATTAAAAACTCCAAAACAGTTGGCATTGTCATGATTGGGATCATGAGACCCGTAATCTCTTAGGGTCATCGGGGCACCACATCTACTGCAGCCATAGCAGGAGTGGTGTTTCTTGGACAAGACAGCCAAATAGAGCCCAACCCACTTCAGTCTGATTGAAATCAGTTTTCCTCTTTCTAGACTGGTTGCCAACTAAGGCTATAGAGCCGAATCTGTCAAGCTATTTATCCATAGCTGGGGGTGGGGAGAAGAAATAGATTTATACTTTACCTAAGGGCATTAGCCCATAAGTTAATGTAATGAACTTGACTGGAATTCAAACTCTGCTCTTTGATTTCTTAATCTGAGCTGCGATCCGTTACTCCACTGTATCTCCAAGAAATAATTTGTACAGAAACACTGATCAGGATTGTTTTCCCTCTCTTCAAAATGAATCAAAATAAATAAAATGAATGAATAAAGTAAAAAATATATAACAAAATTACTTTGTATTTACAGTATACAAGCAGAAGTAATGTATAAAACTGATTTCTGATTTTGTTTGTTTCACTTAACTGCTCAGTACATGACTGTATAAACATCTAGAAATCAATTTTAGGAAAATCTATAAAGCGGGAAAATTTTTCATGTGATGTATTTTAGGAAAAATTTCTTTTCACTTTGTCATAGATTTTCCTTAAAAATTGTTTTTGATATATAAAAATTTATATATCATTTTCCCATACTGTCAAAGTAGAAATAAATTAGAAATGTTACAAGTCATGCAGAAGTTACATTGATGCAAACACATTGCATGCATAGTGGGCCTGAAATAGCAGTCCAGGTACAACTTGTTATGTCCTGGTCATGTCTTTAAGGTAGAAAATCCTCCTGAGGACTGGCTGTACTGCATTTTTATTAACAGTCTGCTTAGGTTTGCTCAGCATAGTTGCAGTATAAACTGCAGGTTGATTCTGTGGACATTGATCAAACATGAATGGGTCTGAGCAGGTGCCTGCAACAGGGATTGACATACTACCCTGGTAGAAAGGCCTATAAAAGTAGGTTTACCAGGTACAGCTCTGAGTAGTAAAGGTCAGTGTTATTAAATTTTGAAATTAATTTGGAAAAAAAAAAAAAAAAAAATGGCCCAATCAAGCAAATGATGAAAATATGTTCCCACACCCGACAACACACAGGGACATGTTTCTAAATAATTTGATAAATTCTCACTCGCTATGTTAAGTAGAACTGAGATATATAACAGTGAATATTGAAGTCAGCACTCAGAAGCGACAGACTGTTTCATGCTAGACGTAATCATCAGGTTTTTATATTTACATACGCTCTATCTCTGATATTGAGCACTTTATCCCATAAATATAGCACACCTTAAAACTATATTCATTCATATATATATATATATATATATATATATATATATATATATGATTCATTCCTAAAGATGCTGGGAAAATGGTTGTTTCAGAATCAAATCAGACCAAAAATGGAGTATTGCTGCCATCTCTTGGCTGGGGCTGCACTATCCTCACTTTCCATCTTTGACACAGTTCAAAAGCGTTTACTTGATCCTGTGGGTAATTATTTTCAGTTTATTGCCCCTTTGAGACAGATAAAACCTTAATTGCTACTTAGTTGCTATTTCCATGGCAAATGTTCAGGCATTCTACATCCTTTAGTTCAACCAGATCAGACATTTGCAACAAAAACCCGCCCAGCCATGTACACAAGGTTGAATCATCCACGTTCCCTTTATATTTCATTGGTAAGAAGGCAGTTCCATTTGGACAGCTTCTTCCTACGAGCCACTACTTTGTGGAACAGACTCCTGAAAGGATGCTTCCCTGAACACTATAAATCTTGACCTCTTCAAGTCCAGGGTCGATTGTTATCTATCCTACATATCCTCATAATCTACATTGTCCTTATCGGCTTAAAGCCACATTGTGTTGAAACACTGACTCCTGTACAATCACCGAAGTTAAGCAATGTCAATCTTGGTCAGTACCTAGATGGGTGACCGCTTGGGAATAACAGGTGCTGTAAATCTGGATGTGCAGGTGGTGTAATAGACAATAGCTCAGAATTGATAATCAGAGAGCTGAGTTTCAATATCAGTTGGAATTACATGCAGATATCCTTGGCAAAGTCATGAATCTATCTATTCTCCCTACAGCTATGGGTTAATGTATTACTAAATCATTGTTATCTTGAAATAAAAAAAAATTTTACAGTCTAAAACAATTTTTCAGTTTTAAATAACCAGCAAAGGGTTGATAAGCTGTAAAAAAAAAAAAAAAATGAATCAATCAATCACTGAAATAGTGATTAGCGATACTGGAATGTCTTTTACATTTATTTACATTCCCTGGAATATAAATGTATAGAAACTAGTTTGGCCACAAAGTGAGGGATCAGTTTATATATTTATTGTAAAATAGACTTGAACTACCACTTTATATCCATATTATAATTTCTTGTTTGTGTATCAAACTATGATTAGGTATAAATTCACCTCTTCTCCCCCAGCTATGGGTTAATTAGTAAGACTTGTATCACTAAATCATTATTATTTCCACCCTCAAAAAAAGATTTCTTACAATCTAAAAATATTTTGGGATTTAAATAACCTAAACAAATTAATCTTACTTTCTCCTCTCATGTCCAACAATCTCTCTCTGTAACCCTCTGTCTTGAGGGACTCTTGGGCTTTGTATTGGGTGAACAGTTAGTGTAAAGTTATTAAAATAAATGGATTTCTTGAGTTATTTTGTATATAACGGAAGATTTTGATAATAAAAACTTACTTTTTCATTTCTTTGTTGGAGCAATTATTTTATTACCAACTTGTTGATAATAAATGTCTTAATAATTGGAACTACTTAAATATAGTGGTCCACTCATGAAAAAAAAAAAATAGGGGAAATTTGGAAATAATTTTTGTAGATTACCAAGCTTTCCCAGCCTGGGTGATATTGCAGTGGACGAGAACTTCAACTATTGTGTGGATGCTGACCAACTGAACAGAAAATGGTGGATGATTGGAAATTTTGGTCGGTGATACAGGATGTTGAATATTAAAGATATTTCAACATGGACTACCTGAAAAAAAATTCAAGAGAGATATGCAAAGAACACACACACACACACACATCATGATTAAGCAATTCATCGAGTCTAGAAGAAACCTCAACAGAATGCAGAAAGCACTGGACGACTGTTTTGTCCTATATTTGGGACAGTGTGCATCCACTATCAAGAATTGAAACCCGGACAGTTATGGTAAATGGGCATTGGTGATGAAGAGGTAGCGAATTAAACTCGAAATAGCTCCGCTTGATCACATATTCCATGGTGGAACTTATCTCATTCCCTTACCCATAGAACTGTGCCCCAACGAGCCACAACTACTCTCCCAAAACCACTCCATCCAGAGCTTTATTAGCCTGTTCACGCAAGGATATACAAGTGATAGAAATTATTAGGAGGATTTAAGATAATCATAATTAAGTAATTCATATATATATATATATATATATATATACCCACACACAAAATACAAGTGGCTAAATGGGAATAACCATGTCATATTCCTTGACAAAACATTTGAGTATTTTATATAGTTTTGAGAATGGACATTATCATTCAAGTATTATACATAACAAGTATTTGCTAAATTTTTATTAGTTGCTAGTAGAGTATATTCTTTTTAATTGTAGGATTATGAAGAAAGTTAAAATTTTTGTCAGCACTTATCTAACGCTCTTGACCATAAAACTAAATTTTATATATATATATGTATGTATGTATATATGTGTGTGTATACACACATACACAAAGGAGACACGGTGGAGTAGTAGATAACGGCTTGGATTGAGGAATCAGCTGAGTTTGAATTCCAGTCAAATCCATTACATTCACTCATGTGCTGATACCATCAGGAAAGGTATGAATCCTCTTCTTCTCCTTCCAGCCATGGGTAAGCGGGACAGACTGGGTTCTATAGCCTTGAATGGCAACTGGCCTAGGAGGAAGACAACTCTGAATTCATAACCTGCAGAGGTTCGTTTGGGGACCCAAGGAAAACAAAGTGCTCCAAGTCTCTGTATTCGGGCCTTCAAAAAGTGTGGCTGGTTCTGCACAAAGCCTTCACCACTATAATCAAATCATGTGTGCTGGTGTCTGGGCTGTTGGTTCCTAGGAACTTTGCTAGGCCCTCATTTTCAAATATGAGAGTCCAGTCATAATATATATATATATATATATATATATATATATATATATATATATATATATATATATATATATAACAAATAAGCAACATATATCAATCTAACATGTTACATTTTTATTAAAGTTTTGTCAAGGATTGAGAGAAAACACAAAATGATAGAACTTTGGTATTGTCAAGTTTTATTGGTCAGTCACGTATCATGTGCATTAAAACCATAGATAATTGTAGATGTAAGTTTGTAAAAAATCTGGTATGTCTAAGCAAGGCATTGAGTTGACAGTTTTAACACATGTGATACGTGACTGACTAATAAGATCCAAACCAAACAAAATTGAAAAACCAATGTTCTGTCTTTTTGTCTGTTTTCTCTTGATCTCTGATGAAACTTTAATAAAAGTGAAACATGTTGGCTTGATATGTTTTCTATTTGTTCTTTATCTTATCATCCTGTCAGATTCTAATCCATATTTGATCTGCATTTAATTTTTAACTTTTTATATATATATATATATATATAAAAATGGAGGCACAGTTGAGTAGTGGATAGTGGCTCGGATTGAGTAATCAGAGCTGAGTTTGAATTCCAGTCGAATTCATTACATTCACTTACATGCTAATACCCTTGGGAAAGGTATTAATCCTCCACTTCTCCCCTTAGCTATGGGTAAATAGCAGGACAGGCTGGTTTATATAGCCTTGGATGGCAACTGGTCTAGGAGAAGGACAACTCTGGATTCAAAACCTGTGGAGGGTCGTTTGGGAACCTTGTGGCACGTTGTGCATTCAAAAAGCGTGGATGGTTCTGAACAAAACCTTCACAACTATAATCAACTTTCATGTGTTTTGAAAAAAAAAGAAGAAGAAAATTATGCAAACATTATATAAATGCATACATACAACAAACTATTTTTTATTTAACAGTTAAAATATTTCATCCTTGAAAATGGCTAAATGTATAGCCGGAAGTGCTCGGATGAAAAGAACATTCGGAGAGTTTTTATATAAGTTATCATCTGAAAAGAAAAAATTTATTAGATCACATGAGAAATTTTATATAAAAACTAAATCAAAGCACCTTGTCTGTTGTATTCAATGAAATGTGCATGAAAGAAGGATTGCTGCTAAATACACACAAAACATATATATATATATATATATATATATATATATATATATATATATAATCTCAGTTTCAATGGTCAAGTTTGCTTTCATTTGTTTTTTAATATGGTAGCAGCATCAGCATTATTTGACTACCTCCCTTTGGTATTTTTTTTTTCTTTTTTACTACATTGTAAATTCCGTTTATGAATTAGTAACAAAGTTTTACCAAACAATTTTGAAATGCTTCTAAATATTTACTATAAAAGTGGATGGTGGAATATTTTTACATGGGAAAGTGGGCAATGGTGCCAAAAAGTTTGGTAACCCCTTCTTTAGACCTTCATTAGGCTGCAGAAATTGTCAGATTCAAAAAATATCTATTTTTTTTATGCATTAATTTAGAAGATGGGAGTTCTTGGTGAAAATATTGATAGTGTAAAACCGATCCATTTTAAAAAGTTATCTAGACTTAAATATTTATTTAAAATTGTCTGCGGTTGCATCATTAGTTTCTTTTGTTTATTTTATACAAAAAAAAAAATTCCTTTAAATAAAAAAAACAAACAGATATATTCATTTTTTTTTATGTTAGGAAAATTAATGAGAAAAGTGGAAAAAAAAATTGTTATTAATTTTCCCAACATTGTTCTGGTATATAAAACTTTATATCATTTTTGCCAACATTTTTATGTTTTATTCCTAGAAAATAATTTAAACAATAGCAATTGTTTTTCTGGTAAAATAGAATTTATCTTTTTTTTTTTTTTTTTTTAAAAAGACTATTTGTCATTAAAGAACCATCAGATATATATATATATATATTTTTTAATTAAATAATGAGCATGTATATATTTTTAATTAAATAGTGAACTGATATATACATTTTAATTTATATAATTGTTTGTAAGGTTGATTTTTTTTTTTTGATTTTTTTTTTAAAAAGATTTTCCATATTTTTTATACTTTTTATGTAAATTTTGATTCTTTAGTTAAAATGTATATATCTGTTTGTTCTTTAATTAAAAGGAATCTTTTTGTAAAAAATGTAAACAAAGAAAAGTTTTACCTGGCAAACAAATGCTGCTATAAAACAGTGGTTCCAAACCTTTTCAACTTGTGGCCCATGAAATTATTATAGTGTAAAAATTAGTTCCATTTTACCCTTGAATATGTTCAATTATAAAATTTTTGTGGTCCACCTGAAATTTTCCATGGCCATAGGATGGGAAACGCTGGTTTAGAATATATATATATATATATATATATATAATTTGTTCTTTTGTTAAAAATGTATATATCTCTTTGTCCTTTAATGACAAAAAATGACTTGTAAAAAAAAAAAAAAAAATCCTTTTTTACTATTGCTTGTTTAAAATATTTTCCTAGAATAAAACATAAAAATGCATGTATCTGTTTGTTCTTTATTGAAAAGAAATCGTTTTTTACATGTAATAAAAAAAATACCCCCCAAATCAAGAAAGCCTGTTTTCATACACACATATCAATGACGGAAGTCCAGATAACTCTGTAAAAGTCAGGGATTGATTTTACTCTGTATGAAAATTATGAACTAAAATGATAAAAACGTAATTATTTTTCCCTTCTGACAAGTGTCGCAGCCTAAAGGGCATTTAAATTATGTAAATATGCAAAATTTATTTACAAAAATATTTCCCCTCTTTTTCACAAGTGAATCAGTTTATTTTAGTGCCTACTAAATAAAATGCTTACTCTTTTATTTATTTTTAAAAAAAATTTTTTTTTTAATTTTTTTTATTTTTTATTACAATTCACCCCAAGCAAGGTGATATTGCTACCTAAGAAGCAAGGGGCTACTGAGAGTGAAAGAGAATGAGAAAACTTTAGAAGTAACTGGGAGCCCAATCCAAAAACAGAAAACAAGCAATGGACCTCTACTCCTGTTCAAAAGACAAAGGACAAGTTTGAAGAAGATGATAGACAAACCTATCTACTCCTATTGAGAAATAGAGTTGAATTAGATTTTAGATGAAACCGGAAACCCACTCCTAAACCGGGATTATCCTCTACTCCTGTTCAAGAATGAAAATGGAGTACTGTTGCCATATTTGGGCAGGAGCTGCCAGACCTCACTTTCCAGTCTTGATAGTTCAAAAGCGTCTCCAAGTCCTTGTGGGAGAAGAATTATTTTCCATACTCCAACCACTCTCTCACAAGCAAGCCTCTTACTGCTCTGTTGCTACTACCATAGAAAGTGCTTGGACAAACTGCATCTCCTGGTTCCACCAGGTCTGACCTTCATGGCTAAGACCCACAATGCTGCTTACATAGTAGCAAACCATCCACATTACCTCTGTATTCCATTGGTGAAAAGTAAGTTCCACTCAAACAGTTTCTTCCCACAAACCACTGCCATATGGAACAGATGCCCTAGAGGATGTTTTCGTGATGACTACAATCTTAACCTGTTCAAGTCTAGAGTCAACTGTTATCTTCCCCTTCTATCCTTGTAAAACAGTGTTTAGCAAATTGTGGGTGCTAGCACCCCTTTGTGGGCTCTGTTATGTTGAAAATTGGCATTGGGAGTTTTTATTTCATTTGGGGGATGGTCGGCATTTAACAATTTTTTTTTTTTTTTTTTTAAATTATTCAATATTGGCTACAAAAGGATATTTCTGAAAGGTATCTAAAGCTGTGGGAAGCTATCAAACTTTTCTCCCTTGCTTTTTCAACTTCCAATATGGCTGAATGTGGTTTCAACACACAGCTTCTTACTAAACAAAGAAACTGCCTGCAAATTACAAAACCAGGAGATCTAAGATTACTTCTAAGCAGCATGGAACCTAGAGTAAGATCCTTGGCCAGTAAGCACCAAAGTCGACCATCGCATTGAAACCCTTGAGATAAGCTGTGAAATGAACCTAGAGTGAGATCCTTGGCCAGCAAGCACCAAAGTCGACCATCGCATTGAAACCCTTGAGATAAGCTATGAAATGAACCTAGAGTAAGATCCTTAGCCAGTAAGCACCAAAGTCAACCATCGCATTGAAAACATTGAGATAAGCTATTAAATAAAAGTTTTTTTATTTTTTATTGACATTTATAATAGAAGTTAAAATTACTTTTATACTAATATCTATGTTATCTTGCCATGAAAGATGAATTCAGTATAATATTAGAAATTAAATTTGATGGTAGGTGGAGGGGGCATTAGCAAAAAGGTTGTGCCCAAAGGGGGTGCTGGTTGAAAAAATTTTGGGAAACACTGATGTAAATTATCTTTTACTGTAATCCTCTACCTTGAGTGGACCTTGGGCCTTGTACTGAGTGAACCTTACTGTGAAAAAAAAAAAAAAAAGAGACTGGGGAGAAGTGTGAACCTGTCTACTCTTATTACTTATCTGTACTCAATTTTGCAGATTCTGAAATCCACCCATCAGGAAAGAGATTTTTTTATTTGATTTTCATATTGCAATTTCCTTGATGTTGTTTGAATGTTTTTCTTAAAAGAAAATGAATTATTTTTCTTTAGTTTATTTGAATTTATTTGGGAATTATCTATTAATGCATAGTGTTTTATAAATTTGTGAAATGAAGAAGTATCAAAACTCTATGATAAAAGAAGCTACAGAGAAAGAAAATCCATGAATTAGTTTCACATGGGCATAAAAAAAACTGATGTTCATTAAAGACTTTTTGAATATAAAATTTGAAAGTGTATCGCCATCAAGATATTATCAAAATTTTTTTGACAAGGAAACATTGTCAACTTTACATTTATCATCCACAAGACACAAACTCCCGAGAGAATGTTTCTCTGACAAGTACAATTTTGGTCTCTTTAAACCAAGTTTCTATCCTACTTATCCTCATAATACTCTCTTACTTTCCTCTTCCTTACAATCTCACTGAGTAACCCTCTACCTTGAGTGAGCCCTGTATTGGGTGAACTATCGGTAAATAGATACTCCTCTATCAATACAGGAATTTTCAATTTTACAATTCTCAAACCAATAATGTTAAATGGGATATAAATCCGTGGCAATTTGATGCCAAAAATGATCAAATTTTGCATCTTTCAATCTTTGATTGCAAATAAACTCTACATAGCCATCTTGTGTCATATTGTAATTTCTTGGTCCCGACATTACTTTGATTGTTGATTTGCATCTTTGCTGTGGAGCTTCCACCCAATTTGTGCTTGCTGGGCGAGAGGAGGAGGGGGTGGGTTGCAAAGTATAATAGCGTCACTTATTGTTGATAAAAAACATGTAATTATGAAAGTAGATTTGCTCATTGCTGCTTTGGATTTTTGAAATTGTCAATAATACTAATTTCAATCATATGTTTTTTAAAAAAATTTTTTAATTGGTATCACCCTCAGCAAGGCAGTACAGCCGTTAGCGTGCAAGGGGTTACAGGGTGTAGAGGAATTAGGAACAGAAACATTAGTAATGAGCAGAAAGAGAAAAGAGCAATCAGGAAGACAGTAAATAGTGATTGATATTGCATTTAAATGTTTGCAGATTAAAGTTGGCTGGAAAGCATGGGGCCAGAAGGGAGTTCCACAAATGAGAAGTGTGAGAAAAGAAACTGTCAGCATAGAAGTTACAGTTACATCTAACTAGCTCAACTGTAAATTGATGAAATCTCGCCGCCAGTCTAGTTGTGTGCTTAAACTCATACAGTGTAGGCACCACAGCGAAGATCTCATCTGAACACTATGAAAGTATTTATAAAAAATGGGAAGAGAGCCAACTTTACGGAGGTGGACAAGTGACTGAAGCCAATCTGCCAGATCAGAACCAATAATATTGCTAATTCTTCTTTGAATTTTATCAAGGAGCTCCCGGTAAATAGCATTGGCACTAGAACATACATGGCAGCAATATTCTAAGCATGGACAAATTGTAGAATTATAGATATGCAAGATAGATTCTTGAGAGAAAAATTGTCCTAGCAGTTGATCTAGCAATGGATTCAATGTAGTCTTCCCAACTCATGTCAGCTGAGAACATTCGCCCAAGAAGGCACAATGAGATTTTCCTAGAGGATAGCATCAGCCACACTGATAGAAGGCAGAGAGGGGTCTCTCAGATGATTAATGGAGAGAAATTTAGTTTTGGAAGTGTTAAAATTGACATGCCATATTGAGGTTGCTTTGTACATTAGCTGCCATTTTGACTTTGGGTTACTATTAGAAATTGCTATATTAGGTTTGCTGCCCCTCTCTCTTTCACTCTTTCATCTCTCTCTCCTGCTTTCTTGTCTCTCTTGCTTTCTCTCTTTCTTCTCTCTATTGCTTTCCCTCTTGCTTGTCTTTCTTCTCTCTCTCTTCTTTCTCTTGCTTTTTCTCTTTCTTGTCTCTCTCGTTTTCCCACTTTCTTGCCTTTCTCTCTTTCTCTTTTCCTGCTATTTCTCTTTTTCTCATCTCTCTCATCATAATTTAACATCTTTTAAGAAAAACGATATATGAAAATAATTAAAAAACACTGATATTATCCTATATCCTCATGCCGTTAGTTTAAACTGATGTCTGTGATATTTTCACTTTCCAAAACTATGCTTTATGATTTAGGTATATGGTTGGGGGGTGGGGTGGAATTTAAATCTACTTAAACTGGTGTTAGGCAGTTATCAATAATCCCTACATGGCTATGGCAGAAAAAAAATTAATCTATAATACCACCCCAGCCAGCCCCCCAATCCTAAATTAGGATTTCAGGCTGTGCCAAAAAAAAAAAAAAAAATGGTGCCCCCCCCACTCCATTGATAAAAACCTCATGTTCTTGAATACATAAAAAAAAAAACAAATGAAATTTTACACAGTGTTGTTATGACTTACTGCATTGGATATAACCTTTTTTTTTTAAAAAAAATAACTTTAAAATAATACACTACTTAAATACATATGATTTTCTTTCCTCCCTCACACCCCTGATGATGACTCATAAGCATCGAAAGCTTGGACATAATGAATTTTTTACCATTTTATACATCCACTACAACAACATTTGCAAAGCTTTATCCACATATTAGAAAAATGATCAATAAAAAAAAAAATGAACAAGAAGCTTAGTAAACATAAAATGTCTTTTTTAAATTAGACATGTATACAATAAGAATTGTTGCCTAAATATTTTGAACGCACATACACACACTGTTCTTTTACTTTTTTCAAGTACTTTTGACTATCTCAGTCAATTTCAAGGACCATGTGTTGTCTGTGTGGTACCAACAGAACGAACATGAACTTAGGACCGTTTATCCACAATTTCCTCCACAATATACCAATTATTTGAAAATTGGAAAAATACAATAAACAAATTAGATTGTGTTGGTGGGCATTAATCAAACTTATTTAGATAAATACTTGCTGCCTAAATATACCTTAATCTTAAAAATAAATGGTCACGTGACAGAGTGGTTAGAATGTTCGCTTTTTGCTTTCTGATCATGAGATCTGGGTTCAAATCTCACCAGAGTTGATTTTTCAGGTGACTTCTTGATGATATCAGTCAGGGAGAGGTGATCCCAGCATGTGGCACCCTTAGAAAGTGTCTGAAAACCAAACCACAGGTTGACTTGTGAGTGAAATTCAGTAGACAAAACTCTTTGGTGTGCCGTTGATGGCTGTGCTAGCATGAAGTCACAAGTCATCATGACCGAGGGTTTGAGCATGTGGGCCTTGTTCAGACAGTTGATTGCCTTTTACACACACACACACACACACACCCATACACACATATATTCAATTGACCCCAACGAAGGTGATACTGTCACTAAGATGCAAGAGGCTATGAAAAAGAAAAGGTTTTAGAAGAAATTGGAAACCCAATCTTAAACAGGAAACAAGGGACAAACCTCTACACCTGTTCAAAAAACTAGGGAGGAATGTGAACCAGATGATCTCACTTTCTGAAAGAATTACCTCTTTCCCAGGAAAGAATTACCTCTTTCCCAAGCCAATATACAGGACTATAAAAAATTTTTTAAATTAGAAGAAAACAGTTAAATTCATCACTACCTGTTATTTAAAATATATAATACATAAATTAATCCGAAACTAAGGTAACACATACATTATAAATAAATAAATAACATTCAACATCATTTACTCACTTTTGTTTATTAGACAGTAAATTATGTCACTTAGCATCTTCCATAATTTAACAAAACTTTTCAGTTAACCTGATGCATATTTATGAGTGTTTTTTAAAGTTAAAAATAATTTTGAAAAACTAGCAACACATTCACTTTTGTATATAAATACTTGTTGCAAAATAACATCCCTATATTTGCCTTGATAAAATTCATCAGAGGATGAAATGTGCTTAGATAAGTTTTTCTTTTGTCTTTATATCTGTATCACAGTGAAATTAATACAATCTCATGTTCCCCTGGAAAATTGTATCTCCAACATCAGAAATAAAAAAAAAAACAGCATTAAACTCTTAAATTGGGCATACATACACCACAATCTATTGTAGGTTGTCTTGCCATGTGGCAAAACTGAGTGCAATCCATGCACATATTGAACACTGGATCAAAAATAGTCCAATACAACTATCAACATAAAATAAATATTAGTGGATAATACCAAAATACTATACAGCATTCACTGGAAGGAAAGACATAAAATACATGAAGCTGTTATGATCCAAATTAAATAACCAACATTAAATAAAATATTTTTCCTCACTGAAGAGAGATATATATATATATATATATATATATATATGTCTAAAACAATGCTACACATAAGTAATAATGCGATATAAATTATTTGATATCTACTGGGGCAGCCAAACTGTTAATCTGCTTTACACATGATGTCACTTGTATGGTACCTGTATAGTGGATTCAAACTTGAATTGTAATGTTACAAAAGAAAGCAAAAGAAAATGACAGGCTATAGCCAACAAAATCTTGTCTGCCACATGAACAACATTCAGCTACTGATAATGCTTAAACAAAAACATGAACATTGCTCAGTTTATCTGCAATTGAGTTGGACGTATGACTTTTTCTAAATTTGGAAAAAGATTTTAAAAAAGAGATGAGAATAACTGAACAGTTTTAGCTTGTCAACTGAATTACACATAACTTGTCTAATGAATTGTTTCTGCCTAAATCTCTCTCATTCACATCTCCAGGAGAGTGTATGTAATTTCTGCAAAACCCAGTTGACAAGATAAGTGAACACTTTTTTTTTATATTGGATTTACCCTAAAAGAATTATTACTAATGAGCGGGAAGACAAAAGAGTAAACAGTGTAGTAGATAGAGATTGACATTACATTTTTATTTATGTATAATCACATTGACGTGTGAAACTGTCACTATTCAAAGTTAATTCCTATGTCCACATTATCTTACTTACACACACACACACACACATATACATATATAGAGAGATTTACTAAGTGTAGTTTAGATGTGGCACAAGGCTGAAAGTATGGAGCACCCACTGAGGCTTAAACTTACTACTCAGTCATAAATGATCTAGCATGATAAACTTGTTGATCATCACATCGAAGTGCCTAAGTGATTTTCTAAGTGTAGCCTAGACGTGGCACAAGACCAAAAGTGTGGAGCACCCACTGAGAATGAAACTCATTACTCAGTTTTAATTGATCTAGTAAGACAAGCTTGCTAACCATTGCACCATGTCAAATTGTTTGCGCTCTCTCTCTCTCTCTCTCTCTATATATATATATATATATATATATATATATATATATATAGTCATCCACAGACAGACTGTTTCACAGCTCATCAGTGTGCCTAGATGCCTGGTTGCTTCTAGCTAGGCTTAAAACCCGGTAATTGACATCAGTCCAAGATTCTACTCCTAAGCTATTGGCGCATGGCAGAGATGAAGGTGAATTTAAGCATATTTATTTTTAGATAAACACACCAGTGACTGAGAGAACTCAATTTGTGTTATGAAAGAGTCTTGCCTTAGTAGCAGTAATAGTCACTGTTTACAAACTCACACTTTTCTTCCCCGAGAGCTCAACCGAAAATAAATTTTTTTCAGGAGCATATATACTGTCATCCACAGACAGACTGTTTTGCTGTTTCACAGCTCATCAGTGTGGCTAGGTGTCCGGTTGCTTCTAGCTAGGATCGAAACCCAGCTGGATTGGCATCAGTTTGAGATATATATATATATAAAAGATGATGTGACAAAGTGTAAAAGAGAAAAGCTTATGTTCTCTTTGGTGTCATCAGTTCAACTAAAAAAAGGAAGATAAAACTGTGTGTTCGTGGAGTGTTTTTGGGTTCTTATTCTCAGAGATTCTTCACTTTTGTTTTTGATAGGATTATACATCCTGTAAACACACATAGAAGCACACATACATGAAGATAAACTACATCTGGCAGCAATGCCTCTGATTGGGTGATTGGAGGTTTTGAGGAATGTAGAGCCACTTCTTAACTGCTGTCATTCCCAGGTCCACCCTAACCCAGAGTGGTAGCACTTGTTAGGGTCCCAGCTATGGGAAAATAGTGACCCAAACAAAAATCAACAGCTCATTTTTATAACAAAATGACAATACAATGCTAAAAAAATATAAAAATACATTTTTATAGTAAAATTACCAACAATACATTTTATGATCTACAAAATATATATCTAAAGAAACATCCATCTACTCTGAAATTATAAAATTATGTCCAAAATATCAAGTAGAGTACTGAATTGTTATGGGATATCTGTTCTCCTATATGGCAGTGAATGCTGGACAATCTCCTCACAGATGAAGAGACTTGAAGCAAGATAAATATGGTTCTATAGAAAGCTACTGAGGATACTATAGATCAAATATGTGTGTAATGATTGAGTTTTTCTTTTTTAATTATTTCACACCCAAGCAAGGCAATAATGCCATCAGGATGCAGGCGGTTACAGGGAGCGAAAGAAGATGGAAGACTTTGGTGAAGTAAAGGACAGTAAAGGAATGGGATTCAGGAAGACAGAAGACTGACAATGTATTTAAACTTTTAAAGATTGTAGTTGGCAGAGAAGCAAGAAATCTGAAGGGAGTTCAGTAGGTAAGAAACTATTTGAATAAAAGAGATGGTTGAATTTGCTTGTTCAACAGTGAAATGGTGAGATCTAGTTTTCAGACCAGTAGCATGCTTCAATTGATGCAATCAAGGCAGTAAGGAAAAAAGCTTATCAGAACAATTGCCATGAAAATATTTGCAGAAAAGATAGAGGGAAACCATATCATTGCAGTGAGAAAGTTACTGAAGTCAAGATGCCAGGTCAAAATCAAGTGCCTTTTTTTGAACTTTGTCAAGAATCTCGAAATATATAGCAGGAGCACCGGGTTAGATATGATAGCAATATTCAATACATGATTTTGATGAAAATCATACTTTTTTCTTTTCTTTTTACAAAAGTTATGAAATTGTCAAATTAAAAAATAAAA